TGTTTTCACTGTATATCTATTATATGTTAATCGCTTCCCAATCATAGGGAGAAACCATTTTTGTTGATTTGGCAGAATGTGGATCAAAGCAACATGAGTGATCAAATACTGCCGCTGCTAGTAGTATTCTAATTTTTGTCGTTTTTATTGTCAATTTTTAGCTTATTTTCTTTATTTTGAAAAACTGGAAGGAAGCTTATGAGATCATCTTGCTGTCTGTATGTCTGTTACCCCGCCTTTTATTTGCTAGGCAACGGCTGGGTAAATGCTTTCCGGCGGCAACGAATACACACACAACAATAGAACAACTGTTGGACGCCGTGTTTTCTATGCGGTCCCTGCTGTATCAGATCCTCGATATGTAGTGAAACGAAAGCAGTCAGTTAGCTCATCCCATAATTTCTTGCTTATTATTAATTTGTTCATGATACATCTGAGATTTAGGCGCAACCCGATTGTTTGAGACCCATCTTATTTCTCTTAAGTTTCTTCCCCTTGCTTCCAGCGAAATCTGTAAGATAACATAGCCACCGCGTGCTATGAAGATGGATAATGACTCTCTGTAACACATGAAGCTTTGCAGCGGCATAAAATTGTATGTAAACATTTTAAAAATATCCAACTCTTTGGCTTATCTCCATCTGCACCCCCGACTGTCCTCTATTGTCATTGCAGAAGAATGAATACAAAACACAGTTGTATGTGCACACAGTACATCATGATGGAAGGAGTTCAATACCGTTACGAATTTCTTTTGTTCTAAAGGTATCTTCATTGGTTGCATCCTGTTGTGTGTTACAGATATATAGGAATTATGGCACCATCAACACAACAAATACTCAGTTTTATTTTCGATCTTTATACTGCTACATGTTTCGGTCACACAAGACCATCATCAGTCAGTTGTACACAGGAATACATAGACATTGAAATACCGATAAGGATCCTTATCGGTGCAACAGTCGTGTTATTTACAGACATAAAACTCTTGCCTCAAGTAGAAGTTATATTTTTTTTTCCCTGTGGCGCTACAGCCCCAATTTGGGCCTAGGCCTACCTCCATGAATCTCTCCGTTTCACATCGGTTTACTAGATCTTACACATACGGTAGGACTCCTTGGGCGAGTGATCAGCTCGTCGCGAGGCCTCTACCTGTAGACAAACACAGAAAAAGGCACACAAACATTTATGCCCTGAGTGGGATTCGAACCCACGATCCCGGCTTCTGAGCGAGCGAAGACAATGCATGCCTTAGACCGCTCGGCTACCGTGACCGGCGGAAGTTATAATAGAGTAACAAAAATAAGATAAAAGAGAAATATAAGAGTATGTCGTATATCAAATTATAATGTGTTGAAATGAAAAAAATTAAAAGTATGTTAAAAAGTATATTCAAAATGTTAAAAAATGTGAAAGGTTTTTCGATGATAGGTCGAGAATTGTATGCCAACTTAAATATTTTAGGTTTCACTGCTACAGTATAGAAATTGGGCATGTATGTTGTTTGTAAGATCTTATTGTAGAAACTTTCTACGTATTAAGCCCGGTTGTGAAGCCCAGCGACAAGTTACTATGATGTACAGGTTGTAGTGTATGGATATTGGTTTGCTATTCGCACGTTATATATCTTTATATGATCGTACAATATGGCGTATGTGTTCCTTGTCTGGGTGTGTACACGTTCCGTGAGTTCTACACTGTGCGGTGGTCTAGTGGTCAGAGGTCCGGGTTCAATTCCCGACGCTACCAGATTTTCTGAGAAGTATTTGGTCTGGAACGGGGTCCACTCAGCCTCGTGACGATAATTTAGGAGGTATTTCAAGGAAATAGCGGCCCCGGTCTAGAAAACCGGAATTAACGGCCGTGGGGATTTTTTATTGTACAAAAAATTTTGTAACTACAAAAAGGCCTAGGCAATAGCCCATCCGGCCTTCTGTAGCACATTCATATTAAGTCTTAATCTATAATAGCGGTAACCCCACGATTCTTATTACAAATCTTAACTTAAATATAAAAGTATACTGTAAATAATCAGTACAATTACTTCCTTTATTTTTCTTACATATCTATTTTATATAAATGTGGGAATGTTGTTTATGAAGTAACAGACGCCTTGCAGAAGTATTTTTCCTTCTATCCTTAAGAACTCTGTAACTGACTATGGGTATTCTTTTTTGCTGTTCTCAGACAAGCCGTCCATCATTGTTGTCCTTTGGTCCTCGTACTGTTCACAGTCCCAGAAGATATGTACCTCCGTCTGCAGCCAATCACCACATTCGCATTCGGCTGTGGACACAATGTAAAATCTGTTTAGGCTTGTTATATTTTAGCGTCCTGTTGCACTGATTTATGTCCATGATTTATTCTAACCGTGTTACAGTGCATACATTTATTCACCTTACTCTTCTCTCTTGCACTACATGTTTCGGCACTAAAGTGCCATCTTCAGGTGCTTTTCGATGTACGTCAAACTACTTCATTGCATGCCCTGTTGTCTTTATACTAAAATAACTAAAATATACATTCGTCATATATATTGATAAATTTTAAATATTAAAAATATTAAAACTGTTCAGGATTTGTCATCCTTATGTCGTATCTCAATACGCGAGTCACACATACCCAGTAGGCCCAGCAGTATAACACACGCAGTCACAGGAGCAAGACACAACACAAAGCACAATACACACACGAAAGTAGGAAGAATACTCCGATAGAAGAAGATAGGTGTGACTCGCGTATTGAGATACGACATAAGGATGACAAATCCTAAACAGTTTTAATATTTTTAGTATTTAAAATTTATCAATATATATGACGAATATATATTTTAGTATAAAGACAACAGGGCGTGCAATGAAGTAGTTTGACGTACATCGAAAAGCACCTGAAGATGGCACTTTTGTGCTGAAACATGTAGTGCAAGAGAGAAGAGTAAGGTGAATAAATGTATGCACTGTAACACGGTTAGAATAAATCATGGACATGTTTAGGCTTGCTTTAAGACTGGTGTGCCCCGCTGTCACACGGTTTTTTGACACGAAGGCGCGGCGGTTCATTTTCATCTCGGAACCACGGAGATGAGCCTTTCCTGTAGTACCTTTCAAAGTAGCTTTCTCCTCTGCTCCGCTTGGTGCTTTGACAAAAACTGTGAAATACGCTGACAAAGCAGCACCCTCTATCCGCTAAAGTTGGCACTAACTTCGCCGACAAGCGCCGGTCGCTCGGTCGGTATATTTCGCTTGCGGACTAAAACCACTGAGTTTTGTTTGACTCCGTGAATCATCAGGTTACAACGGTCTGGGGTAGAGTTGAAAGGGGATATATTACAAAAGCTTGCACACTTTATTGGAGAAACTTCTTAAGAATGATAATTTCAAAGATTCAGGGATGATAATATTAAATTTACTTAATAGTAATCTGTTTCTCTGAAGTTAATTGTAAACAAACGGCCAAGACAGATTCAGCCTCTGTGTTGGTATTGATGACTTTAGGAATTAAAGTTTTACCCCAGGTTGGCTTTAGTGACATGTCATTTTGAAGACTACTGGTCATTTCCTTCGGTAGTACTTCGTGTCAGCAGGTCACAGTAGCCGCGCTCTATAAGTCATGAACTGTCTTCGCTCGCTCGTACGCTGGGAACTTGTTTGGTGTGTGTATGCGTTTATTTTGTGTTTGTGTTAGCCTGTGTTTAGGTAGAGGTCTTGAGACGGGCTGATCACTCGTCCGAGGAGTCCTACCGTCGGTGAAAAACGATTACGGAACTAAATAAGAGGCCAGGGTCATGAATGATTTGGAAGATCCATTGGGCCGCAAAAATTACATCGTTTCATGGTCGGAGGGTGAAGTGTTTCAGCGGAGAAGGATTATGCTTATTGGCTGACCGGAAATGAGGTGGAAGTGAAGGGGTCGAACCAGAACTGGGTGACTGTAGGGGTAGATGAGGCAATTAGTTACAGAAAGGACAAACTCTTTTATTGAAAGATACGAAGGGAATTAAATAGGTATAATGAAGGTAACCTACGTAAGGATAAATACACGTAGTAAAGTGCAGTCGTGTTGTGAGCTAGAAACCCATTCATATAGAAAAATTATACTACCACAGTCAATAATTTCGTGGACTGGCCGCAAAGCGTCGTTGCAGTGCACTACAGCGGATAGGCTGAGGCACGATATAGTGCTCTGTCAGTTCATCCCTCGTCACAGCAATAGGCAGTTGTGTGCAAATAGTGTAAGCAGAACTACGGCCTCTAATTTACATGCGAGCGGCAGAAATTGAAAATATGGCAGTTTGAAGAACGGACAAACATGAAGTTCTGCCAGAAACTAGGCAAATCCCCTAGCGAAACATTTGGCGTAGGAAGAATTGGCTGTTGCTACACGACAACGCCCCTGCACATCGCTATGTTCTTGTCCAAGAGGAACTGACAAGGCAACAAGTCACCGTTTTGCCATACCCTCCGTACTCACCTGATCTCGCACCCCGCGATTTCTTTCTCTTTCACCGCTTGAAAGCAAAGCTACGTGGTCCTAGATTTCAGTCGTCCGAGGAGTTCGTCAATGCCACGGGAATTTCCCGCCAATATGTTTCAGTAATTTTTTCGGCAGCTATGTCAACGTTGGCAGACTTGCATAGCGGCCAACGGCAACTATTTAGAAGGTCGATGTGGATCTGTGTAAGTGTATGTGAATACCTTGTAATAAGATGCAATAAAATCACAGTCCACAAAATTAATGACTGTACCACGTATTAACTAAGGTTGCAAAGAGTAAAGGATGAGAATCCATATATGAAAGGATCAGTCTTCACCCCCTTAACGAGACTAGGCTAAGATCTTTATCTGTGTACATATACATACATAAGAATGTGTGCACAAGTGAGAATGATTTTGCAGGTCCAAGTTTCCCTTATTAAATTAGGAAAATAGATCAGTGACAAAGTTCAGTGCACAGGGCAAATCATTCGATAGAGCAAGTAATGAAATTTTCTGTCATTTCAGATGTCCAACGCGAGTGAGTCCGCAGGCGGGGAGAAGCCCAACTCTGGCTCGGGGTGCCGCCTGCGAGGGGGCAGCACTTCGTCGGGCAACAATTCCGCCACGCCTCCTCACCAGAACAACAAACAACAACAGCAGCAACAACAACAACAGCAGCAGCAGCAACAACAGCAGCAGCAAGCGCCATCAGGACAACAACAGCAGCAACAGCGCCCCAACAAGCCGTGCTGCTTTTGTTGGTGCTGCTGTTGTAGCTGCTCATGGTGAGTACTGCACATTGCCTATCGCCCAAGCAGTATTAGAAAAAAACTCCGTGGCCCGTAGTCCGCAAGCGAACTATACCGACAGAGCGACCGCCGCTTGTCGTCAAAATTAGTGCCAATCTTTTTGGACAGAGGGTGTCGCTTGGTCAGCGCAACGGATCCCTACGGCCGTTAATCTCGGTTTTCTAGACCGGAGCCTTTATTTCCTTGGAATATCTTCTCACTTATCCTCACGAGGCTGAGTGGACCCCGTTCCAGACCCGGTACTTCTCAGAAAATCTGGTAGCGCTGGAAATCTAACCTGGACCTCTGGATCTGTAGCCAGAAACTCTGAACACTAGACCACAGAAGCCGTCATAAGCAGCACGAGAGATAGTGGAATAATAGTTTTCTCTATCTTTCAGTTGTTTATTATCATTTTTCTTTGATTCTTAATGATTTATTTGTATCTTTATATATTTACGTCTTACTTTCTTAGTTACAATTGTAGGATTGTCAGTATCGGTGTCTTGAATACGATCCACGCGCTGCATTTAACTTAACGCAATATCGAGCAGTTCTTTAGAATGGGCCTATATGCACACATCTCAACCAATAAGTCGACTGGCTACTGGCTACTGTCTGGCCACCTCGTCCAGCCTCCTGTCCAACAGGTAGGAAGGGGAACGTTCTCGGCAGGTAAAACGACCAGAATATATAGCTGACCTCTCACCAACATCTACTTCAGCGGTTAGGAGTGTGTGAAACTTTATTTCTGTTTCCCTATATGTCTACATATCCCTGTAATCACGCACAGAGACATCTTTACCTTTACCTTACCTTCGGAATCATCGTTAAACTTAGAATGCTACTTTCCCATTCAGAATTAACTGAATCAAATATTGCTAAAAAGAAAAGTTTTGGGGAGCTAAGATCAGGCAATTTGAAAGGGAATCTGGGCTTTTTAACCTACTTTCCCTATTATGATAACACGTAAAAGTAGTTGCACTATCTCTGTGTTAAGATTGTATCTCCCCCTATAGTTGCTAGGCAACGGCTTTTTAAGACATTTTCTACGGCAACTAATATGCAACAGTGGAAGAACTGTTGGAAACCTCGTTTTCTGTGTGGTCCATGTCGCATTAATCGAAAGTAGACGATTAATTTATTTCGCTACATGTTTCGAGCTTAATATATTTTTTTAATTCGCTTAGTAGGGAGGGTGGAGTCCAGCTGGGTCCACTCGGCACGGCGGCCACTGATTGGCCTATTGTACCTGCCCCGGGTGATTATGATGATGGAGAATTTGGTGGTATGAAGATTGGCAGGGGAAACCAAAGTATTTGGAGAAAACCCGCCGCAGCGCCACTTTGTCCACCACAAATCCAAATTGACCAGACCCGGGATCGAACCCGGGCCGCCGCCGTGGGAAGGTAGCGACTAACCGCTTGAGCTATGGCGCGGCCATGTTTCGAGCTTAGAGACCATCATGAAGCATTCAGGCACTTTTTAACACTGTCGTTGTTACGACTTTAGAACCTGCTAATGAATAGTTAAAAGAAGGGACTGTAATGAGAACGTATCACAAGAAGAAATCCCTGCATCTTAGTGTATTTTATGTCATCCGTAAAGCGTTGTCGAGAGCTTCGCGAATGTTCTTTGTTCAGCTGCAGGATATAGTTCTGTTCGTCTGATACGCCAGCTTTGCCTTATCATAGTGCCCTGATACGTGTTCTTCTGAAGCATAGTTCTAATGCTACGGCCGCGTGGCGGACGCCATTGCAAACACGATAATCGTACTTCTGCCGGGTCCTTAGCTGCAAGTGTGCACTAAATTAGTGCTGTTTGCAATGACTTATGTAGCTCTTCTCGCTTTTGCTTTAATTTTGTTCCATGTGATTATAAACTTTAATTTGATGGATCTCAGTTCGAACTCTGACCGCAATCTTAATATTCACCGCTACGAATTTGTAATATACGCAATTAACATTTATTTATTAGACCTACTGCAATTAAAGAACAACAAATACGTTATGTAGTCACGTTTTTAGGTTATGCTTAATGATACTAATATGCTTTATCCCGTAACTGTCAAAAGTAAATGTAACAAATTCATGTGAATGTGTGTATTAAGGCATAGAATAAGGACATTGCAAAGAATCAACAAATACGTGTATGACGACAAGATGATCAGGTTATTCTCTGCTTATTTTTCGTCTTTATGTTTTACTAACGTTCCGGCAATTGTTTATGACTTCCGTTGGATTAATTCCTGTTTTTACATAAGTTATAACATTGCTATCACTGCCGATTGGATCGATAAATTCGTCCACAGGGAATCCGACTACATGCATTGTGTTTTAATGTTGATATAGTATGTATTCATGCCTTCGGGCTGGCTGATAATTTCTGAATACCACATTGAACCAACCTGGTATGTCATCTTTTTTCTTTAACTGGAACTCCCACTTAGAGGGTTACTTGGCTTCTGTCAGTAGCCTGTAGGGAAATTGCAGATGTATCTAGTTCGAAGTGGTAAACTTATTTTATTTTCCTTGCAGATATCATATGGCAAGTTTGTCGTTTGAAATACTCTGCAGTTGCACAGGGTCTAAAGAGCCTTCTCTTATCGGTCTAAGATATCTAGATATCTTGTTTTCGGGTTTTGAATGTGTTTGTTTCTTTTCGATCTATTCGGTAGCTTATCATATTCTTGAATCTTTGAGTATGAGGTAAGTAGGTCATTTGCAGTTGCGCCCTCTTGCAAGACTCTTTCATGGATCTTTTGAAGGGGCTCTTTAATGATACGAGTATCCCCATTGATTAGTTAACATTGCAGCTTCGTTTTCGGAAGGTTCCTTGTTCGATTGTTGGAACGGGAATTCATTATCCTGGCAGGTGCATTTCGTGTTTCTATCAAACTCCAGAGTACCTTGAAATAGCCACAGCCGCTTCTGTCCAAATCCCTTCCCTTCATCTTCCTGCCTCGATGTTATCTAACATACGCAGCTTAGAAACGGTTATTAAATACTTAAAAAAATCAGATTTTAGTAGTCATTGACTGCTCGCACTGAAACACAGAAAACTGTCGGTCAGTTAGATCGCCTTTGCATGAAGTTGACATTGTGGCAACTGAGAAACTCCTTGCCACGAATTGTTTCTTCTGCAGTTGTGGTATGTTTGTTTGGACAGCAGCGTTCTGCTGATTATTCCCTATCCACCTTTCAAAACTCTTCATCTATTTACTTCATTAGTCTGGTTGTAGAATATTATATTTATCAGTTCACTAAAGAAAAGAACGGCTGTACTCTCAAATTGTACACAGCATAAAAATTTGCTTCTTTACGTCCAGTAAGCTTTACTGTGAACATTATTAATATAAAGTGATAGAAATAGTTACATTATTTTAGTCGTGAAAGAAAATGATATTACTAGACAGCCGATGTAACCGAAATTCATATTTAGTGATAAGTTGTATACTCATATGTGACAGATGACTGGTAAGTTGAAAGAATTGGAAATAAATAAGTACAGGTATCATAAGGAACTTACCAGACAGACAGACAAAGGGATTTGTGTCCATAAGGCATGCTACCCGCTACGCATGCGCATTGAGAACCTCTGTGGGGCTGGTTAAGACTCTAGTTCGGAATTCTGGTCCATAAACTTGTATTACTTCTGACAGAAATTAAAATTAGTATGGTGTGTATATATATAACCACATCCTTTTGAAACAAGGGACTTTTTAAACTCGCATTTACAACCTTAAAAAATGTTTGACACATAGGTATTTTCACACAAAATCTGGGCTTCCGGTTATCTGTTTTTTCTTCTTAGTTTATATAACAAAGCTTCCAATATCTCCGACTGTAAGAATTGAAAATTTGGATGATAGTGATTGTCCAGTTTTAAGGTGTTATTCGTGAAAATATCTAGAGGGAGTGACAAAAACCTTGAGAAACTTCAATCACTGTTCCTATCGAGGCTCTAGTTGTACACATCTCGAATACAAGTGAAACCCTTACAATCTGCGCCAACATGCTCCCCTAGATTTCTTCGCAATACCGTACCAGGTGCAGTGTCTGCCGTGTCATTGCGTGCTGACCAAGTGACTAAATTCGTATAAACAAGCATGATTATACAACTTTATTGAACGTCACAACACAACAAACACAAAAATCAAGGATAGCGCCCAGCTATGGTTTCGCTACATGTTTCAGCCACTAACGGCCATCATCAGGCAAACACATATTAACAAACATATACCACTGAACTGCAGTACATTAGATTGGATACAATGTTATTAATCATTTAAAATACTTTGCGTAAAAATACAATAAGTCAGATTATATAAAAAACTAAAAGTTATTGTATAAAACAAGATAAAATTTAATTGATGTTTTACAACATCGAATCGGTCGTTGATTTATCACTTTAAATACTTTCCACGTACAAATTGGAAATTCGATATTTCTTGTTTCTTAATTTTCGTTTCTTCGAAACTTGTAGCGAAACCATAGCTGAGCTCTGACCTTGATTTTTTCTGTTGTGTTGTGTTGTGTTGTGTTGTGACGGTTCAATTCAATAAAGTTGTATATTGTAACACAGCAGGATGCACGAAATGAAAAGCGTGATTGTAGTACAACTTGTCCTTCCATTCTTCCTTATGGAAAACGTTTTAAGTAATAGGCATGCACTGCAGTGTTATGCCTATGACACGACATTAATATTTCCTTTCTTTTCCTCATTTCTTTCTTACTTCCTCTCCTTCATTCTTTTTTTTCCCTTTGTTTTCCTCTTGTCAGTGCATGCTGTTTGCTTCTTTGGCTCGTCTCCGAAAATACTGCGATATACAAATTTACTGACGTTTAATATCCCACAGTCTTTGAATACCCCTTTCATTCTGCATATAAAATTAGTTCCATATACTGACTATTAAGTCGTATAGAATAAATTGTAAATGATCCTGAATATTTTGGATACTAGATGCACTCTTTCGGGCTTATTCGGTTTGCCTGCTG